TTTCTATTAAATTATGATGTTTTTTGGTTATTTTTTGAGTTTAGAGTCTGGCCGGATGATTTTTGTCTACTTTGGCTTTGTGCTGATGCTAGCTAAGCCACACGATTTGTATGTTTCAGGTCATGTTGCTTCAGCTTCGGGTTTGCACATTTATAACTGTCTAATAAACATATCAGATATGGGTTTATCATATTTGGGGCATTTAGATAGATAACTCATAATTCTTATATATTTATATATCTTGCATTCATACTTATATGAATATTAGTCAAATCTTTAACATCACATAAAAAATGCCGCTATTGATATATGTTTAAAAGTGAAATGCGTCTTTTCATATATAAGTTTATTATACTAAATCAAACTTTAGGGGTTAGATAAGTAAATACATTAGAATTGTGTCGGTATGTAAACTTTTATATTATTTTTATGTTGGACTCGAACCTAACTCATCAACTTGAAGTAAGAAAATAGAATTAAGCTCCACCAAATGCTTCGCTGGACCGGCCAAATGCTTCGCTGGACCGGTTATGGAGAAAGCAAAAAATAAAAAAATAACATGTAATTAGGAAAATTAACCAAAAAAAAAAAAAAATGCAACAGTTTAAGTACTCACTCCCCTTTGGAGAACCACATCTGCTGAAATGATCCAAGGGAAGCCAAAATGCTCCCTCCTATCCATACACTGTAGAGAATAATAGAGCCAGTTATTTTAGATGAATAAAAGAACTGGAAATTAAAAGAAAAAAGGAGAGTCAATACTTGTGTAAAAATCTCTCCTAAATATGTTTTGGAATAATTACATATATACCATTCAGATTAATATATTTACAAAAGTAGCGCCAATGTTATTTTTTTAAACTACCAAACTCATGTACTTACACATGCCACAATCAAATCTTTGAGAATATGAAATAAAAATAAAGGCAGCTAACACAAAACGAACACATGTAAATTTATAATCTTTTTGTTGTATATAAAACTAGGGGTAGTCAGAACGAAACTCTCTTTCGACAAATTATGACATCCACAGACATTCTTGATCATCCTTTAAGGTCCCATCAAGGTATGTATGTAAGAAAATTAATATATCATCTGATTTAGTGCAAATGGTTTAATTACTCAATGTCTGCATTGCAACACTAAAGCAAGAAAACTTTCATTTTCCAATCAGCATCAACAAAATAAGCATTATTACTTTCATAACCATCGACCAAAATTACTTACTACAGACAAAAAAACTTTAAATTATTGCAATAAATAAACGTCAAGTATTAGTGATATTTCAAGTATTAGACAAAATTTCTATGGCACAGAATGTAAAACAGACCTGAATCGTCTCTCTGTCGCGTTTCCGCTAGCTAATACCTTCACCCTTGCAGCTTGAGGACTCTCCTACAAGGCCACAAAAACATGCCACACGGATTAAACAGTATATTCTTAAAAATAAATAAATATTATGCTGCGCAGTAAAATCACCATTAAAATGATCATATTCCCAGATGCAAAAAAGTTTGAAATTTGAGTTAACAGGATAAAAAAGAGTGTATACCAAAATTAATAAATTGAATTTAAATTTTAGCATGCTAGGGCTTTTCTCTTATACAATTGTAATGAGACAGATTTATTGCCTCAGGGCATTCTTCTGGATCAACTTTATCTTTTATTTTTGTTTATAAAAACATATTTGTTTAGTGTATTTTTTACAAAATGATCCTTAAAGGCCCCTAAGATTTTAATTTGCCACAACATATTCAAATTTCAAAGAGAATTGGCCGTATATATTGCTTGAAACTAGAAGACTACGAATAGGAAAATGTGAAAATTAAGTGATTGAGCCGATATAAAATTAAGTAAATTTCTTGCAGAGAAAACCAAAAGAATAAGTGAGAATGGGGATTAGGAAAAAAAATAAGAAAATCATATTTGGAGGAAAATAAATGAAGAGAAGATAACCATAACTATAAAAGACATTAGGAAAACTTTAGAGTCATTAAGGGCCCGTTTAGGATCCCGTTTTGTGGCTATTATTTTGTGGAAAAGGAGAAGCGACGTTTGGGAACCCTTCTATTTCGAGTGTTTCTCTATTTGGGGGCCGCAACAAGTCAAACGCCGAAAGGGAAGGGTGAGAGGGCGTTCCGCGGCTGGAGCTCCATTGCGAGGTGCCTTTGAAGCAGCTACCCCTTTGGATTTTTGGTAATCCCACTCCCTATACTTGCATAGACCCTCACCTCTGCCTTCCTTTATCAATCGTATCATTAAGGCTGAAACCTGGTTCCGCTCCCCTCCCTCTGTTCGACGCTGACGACTTGCCACAACCTTCAGGTGAAGTTTTCTCCTCTATGGATTTTTTTTTTTTTTTTGCAGTTCATTCGCCACCAACCTCTGCTTTTCTTATTTCTTTTGTGAATTTTTTTGTGTTCTTGATCTGCATATGTATCCACCGTTATATGATGGTCAATTAGCTTGTTCTTTTTCATGTATATGCATAGATGAACATGAGATTTCTAAGCACCTATATATTTTTTTTCTTCTTGTATTGCATATGCTTTGATGTAAAGTTTAAGTTTGCAAGATAGATTAATTAGTAACATCAATAGTAATCCTGATGAAACATTAGAAGCTATGGAATGGAAAATATATGAGATTTGTTCATTTTTTTTTTTAAGATTTATTATTTTAAATATCCTAACTGTGGAATAACATTTTGAGGTGGAGAGTGTTGAGCATCACTCATTTGTTTTAGTTTTCTTCTGCTGAGACTTTTATAAATAGAATTGCATATGCTCTGTTGCACATTTGAAGTTTGCATGATACATAAATTAGCAATATCTCTACATGTTCTGAACAATCAGTAGAAGCAATGGGATGAAATACATATGATCAATGTTCATCTATTTATTTTAATTTTTTTTCTTGGTTTATTTTCTTTAGATAAGTATATGAGCAAAGATTTTCAGTTTGTTTAACATATTTTGGTTTCATTTGTCTCCTCAGTGTAGAGTAAAATTTTGGGGGGGGGGGGAATGTTGAGAATTGTTTCTTTTTTCTTAATTTATTTGAGACTTTTATAAATAGAATTACATATACTTTGCTACACATTTAAAATTTGAATGATAGGTAAGTATTAAATTACTTATAATTACTAACATTTTATAAGTAATATAACAATATCCTAACAAAGTTAAAAGTACTAAATTACTTAAAATTAAGAAGTAAAACGTTAATATTCTAACATCAAATTATGAAATAATGTGAGTTATACAAACATTAAATTATCAAAATAAGCTAAAATATTAAAATGAAATATTAAAACAACAAAACAAAACAATTCAAAAAAAAAAACTTCGACATAAATCTCTCTCTCCCCCACAAAAAAAATATATAAAATGGCAACAACATTTGATTTTAAATTTAAAAGTCCCTTGTCGCTCATCACCCAATTGATTTTCAATGGAATCATCGACATGATTAATTATTTATCTCACACCTTATCCTTAGCGTATGTATATTTTCTCATACCTCGTTACCTTTAATCTCAGTTATCTTCTTTTTTTAAAGAAGAATCATCAATAAAAAAATTAATTAAACTAGAACTTAGATCATAGAGAGAACTCAACTATATAAATTTTCTATGAATACATTTTCCTTTTATTTTCTGCTATTTAATGGGTAAGATTTGAAGGATAATAGGTTAAGGCATATTTATATTACTTCTAATATTGCTAAAAAAGTTAAGTATACCCTTAAGAATTTGAGGCATTTTTTGAGGCGAGGTGGAAAATTAAGTGAAAGCCTCATTGCTTTTTTTTAGCAAAAAAACATTAAAGAGGGCCTCAAGACGTGCCTCATATTACGTAATTTGAAACAAGGATATTCAGTTAGAAATATTAGTTCTCCCCCAACACATGGTAATTACCGCTGATGTTATTCATTCTCCACTTTGAGTTTTATTTGTGCATAGAGAAAGGGGCTTTGAAAACTTCCAGTCTTCATAATCAAAGAGGTTTAATCCCTATTTCGATTGCTCTACATTTTAAGAGCTTAAATCATAATCTTTTCTATGATTCGTTTTTACATGTTTTTTCAAGATATTCATCAAATTGGTATTAATCTTTCTTCCCAATTTTTATCATTTATTCTTGTAACTTTTGGTAGTCCATTTTTTATGTTAGCCAAATCTGAGGATGGTTTGATCCCCTGAGAAACTAATGAGTCTCTTAAACAATTTATGTTTATCTAAAATCAAAAAAAGTTGTTAGTTGGTTTAGCTCGGTTGTGAGTCCTGTTTGGCCAATTTGATTTACTATAATGAACATTTCAAAACCAATCAATTGAGCTAATTCATCAAAAAAATCATTTAAACCGATCGAATGCACATCCCCAGAGGGACTTCATCAAAGTATCCTAAATTTCTAATTATTCAAGAACTTTTTTCTCGAAGAATGTACCATGTGGTTGGATTCCAAATGTGCATACTTAAAATGGACACCTCATTTTGACTTCACCCCAAGTTCGATAATTTTTCCATTCATAAATTTGTTACTTCAATCAATCAATATTGTATACTTTAAATTCAATTTTTGAAAAACGCTCTAGGTCAATGATGCTGCTGCAAAAGCTTTCTAATCGTTAGTGGCTTGGTATCAGTTGAATTGGTTTTTTTCCCCCACTTCAAAAAGAAATTAAGATGGAACTCGACATCTAACAGCTTCTGAAAGAAGGTGTTGACCTCATTTTTGGGTGAGGTTTTCACTTCTCTTCTTAGAGCCTAGGATTTAGCTTTAGACTTCCCTTATTTAACCCTCCTAGAGGACTAGTACGGGACTCACACCATTTAAAAAATTCGAGACACCTTGTCACTTCTTCGAGTCTCGTATGGGCGGTCTCGAATCCTTGCAATTTTGCTGAGTTGGTTAGAACCGGCATATGAAACTCGAGTTGAGTTCCTGCAATGAATAGGAGCAGCCTCTAGACAAACCTCTTGCGACTCAAATTCTAACTAACGCCGCATTTTGTCCATGCATTGCACCACGCACAATTTTGACTTAAATTGACTTACCCGTCGGCGAACTCGTCTGGACTACCCTGGAAGACGAAACGGACCACGCAGATGCGTCTGAAACGTCGAATTTAGCTAGAAATGACACCCATATCAAAATGATTTTGCATGTGAGCAATTAGCACAGAAATCGATGAACGTTTTTTTTAATTAGCGAGGCGCGGGCTCGGGCTCAACCTAGGTTCAACTCGAGTTCGATTTGGGTTGGATGCGGGCTGAACACAGGCTAATCACCCCAGCTCACATAATTTTAAAATTCAAATTTCGAACTTCAAATTAACCATTTAATCTCATATTAATTGGGTTTAATTAAAAGTTAGTATTTACCTAATAAGCATTCCCCCACATGGAAGGTAATTAATTTCGCACCTAATGTCTGTAACTGACACTCGCGTTTTTACAAATTCGCTCGATCCGCTCCTTTGATTAATTAAGCTCTCCCACTCTCCTTTATTCTATTAGATCTCCCCGTCTGCTCTCCTCTCGGCATCGCGAACCCCTGCTCTCGACAGATCCCTCTCGTCCCCTCCTCTTCGCCTCTCTCGCTCAAGATTCACCTGCTTGCCTTCTCCCTCACGCACCGAACTCAATCTCGCCTCCTCCTCAGTGTCACAACCCTAGTCGCTCGCCTCCCCCTGGCAGTCGGCTCGCCCCCAAGGCATTTAACTCTAGATTGGTTAAAAAAAAATCTGAAGCTTACATGCTTTTCTTCTTACTTTTGGAAAGATTTGAAAGTCTTATGCTCATTGATTTGTGAGAAAAGGTGAAAACCTGAAAGTTACATGCTTTTTCTTCTTACTTTTGCAAAGATCTAAGGGTCCTATGCTTTTGACTGGTGGAAGAGGGTGAAAATTATTCATGCAATATTGGGTTTCCTTGTGAGCTAACTTATCTAGGCCGATTTGGAAATTGAGGGAAACATTCCACTCAATTCAATGTATATTTACATATCTCACACATAAACTCTACTCATTACATTCATGCCATGCGAATCTTTCATATCATATAAAAGTTACTACAATTTTGGGTAGGAAGTTGAATGCCACTGATTATTTATGGGCTACTCCTAAATAATAATAGCTGAATCTGGGAAAATATTATTCCTTATTGAGGACCAAGCTTGTCTTGTATTGTTTTCTTTGAAACACTGTTACAACTTTATAATGCATAGAACGCCTACATATGTGAGATCTGAATGCATGCGTGCGGTATATGGAATTGCTATTGCCTTTGTCCTTTTCGTATACCAATGCAATTGTACATATGCAGCTTATTTGAATTCTGGATATACTTACACTTGTGAAAAACTTGAATTGAATATATGTACATACAGAACTCTTTGAATGTCAAGATTTTAAATGCCAATTTTGGGGGCCGTTTTACTCACTGTTTTAAAGGCATTAAGCCCATCATTTGGGGGTTGCTTTACTCACTGTTTGGAGCCATTTTGGGTGCTTTTGTGCGCTGGTTTTGGAGCAGTTTTTGCACCACTTTGGCACCGTTTTAGCACTGATTTTGGGTGCTTTTGTGGACTGGTTTAGGCCGGTTTTGCTGCAGTTCTTGGAGCTTTAAAAGTACCTTTTTAGAGAGGTTTTAGCACTGATTTTGGGTGCTTTGTGGGCTGGTTTTGGAGAAGTTTTTGCACCCCCTTTGGCACTGATTTTGGGTGCCTTTGTTGACTGGTTTTTGGAGCAGTTCTTGCACCGTTTTGGGGCATTTTCCTTTGTGGGCTGATTCGTGTTTAAATTCCTCAACAATTTGGAGCCTCTAAAAATATGTTTTGTGAGTTAATAAAAGCTGTTTGGAATCACCGATTGCTGTTTGGAGTGCTTGAAAGCTGTAGAAGAGCAGTAGAAAGCTGCTGTTTGGGTTTGAAAGTGATGTGAGAGCTGTGGGTGGCTGTTGGGAGCTGTTAATAGGAGTAGAAGTGCTGTTGGGAGTTTAAAAGTGCTGTGAGAGCTGTAGAAAAGCTGTAGGAGGCTGTTTGGGAGCTGTTAGCTGCTGTGGATGGCTGTTTGGGAGCTGTAGGCTGCTGTAGATGGCTGTTTGGGGAACTGTTAGCTGCTCTTTAGTGCTAGAAGTGCTGTTTGGAAGCTTATAGCTTCTATTTGGTGCTAGGAAGTGTTGTTTGGAAGCTTATAGTTTTTATTTGGTGATTAATAACTGTTTTTTGGTGCTAGGAAGTGCCGTTTAGCCCTTAGAAGCTGTTGTTGGTAGTTCCTAACTGCTGTCATGACTCGTTTTGCTACTTTTACACTAGAACTCTTGTTTTCTCCTTTCTTGTTTTCTCCTTGTTCTGCATATTTATTTAAATTTTTTACAAATTATATTATGTTTATGAACTAACCACGCAGCGGGAACATCAACAGCAGATACGTCAGGTACGCATGTACATTTTATTTATTGTCATTTTTATCACTATAATTTACTCTTGCTTTACTGTATCATGCATGCATGGTTGCAATTTCATTTTCAAAATAAAACAATTTTCAAAAATTAAACAACATTTTTCAAAAATAAAAATAAAATAAAATAAAAAATAACAAAAAACAATTTTCAAAAACCAAACAACATTTTCAAAATAAAAATAAAAACATAAAACGTACTTTTAAATTTACGGGAGTCCCTCGAATGAGGTAACATACGTTGCTAACGAGGATTTTCCTAGTTTAAATGAACTTAACGACTCGTTTAAGCTAAGTAAATTCAAAAGAAAATAGTGGTACCGAAACGAGGAAACCGTGAAATCCCAACCGGTACTGCTCTAATCAACTATAATCCCCCCCCCCCCCCCCCCATAATGCTTGAATAATAATAAAACCAAAACTTGAAGCGCACCTGGTAAAACTTTTTGAACCTTAGACTTTAGGATTGCTACTTCAAATAGGAGCTTGGAGTCAGCTTTGTGGGCTGCACGACAAGAAGTTTAGATCGAGCAATAAGAGAATCTTCTTTAGCAATCTCTAATTAGTCTAAATAATAACCAATAGAACTTCGAGGTAGCTCTCCCAGCACGCACCCTCTTTAGACTCCTGTAAAACCATATTGCACAGCGCAAGTCCTAACTCACATTAGGTTCCGAGGTTGTCGTCCGGTACAACGTAAATACTCCTACCTCTGCGGGCTATTTACATAATTAATTATTATGCAAGTGTAAGTCTCAAATAATAAAATTGACAGAATTGAAAACTTGAATAACATCGTCTCAAAAACTAAGCCACACATTAAGATAGTTTACAAAGTTACTGATGTTTCTCCTCAGGATCTGTGACATCCAATACATTTTTCTTCCTTTGAACTCCTGAAAATAATTGTTCCTATTTGAGTCACTCCCACTTATTTTTTCACGTCCTACCGTGAAAACCTAAACTTTAAATTCTTGAAGAAGACTAGTACCTCTGATCATCATCGAGAGTTTTCTCAAGTGACCCCGTCATTTAAGATGTAATTAACTATAGAGGTTTGCCTTTATAGAGAACTTGGAACCCAGGTAAAATAAACCCTACTTAATCTTTATATTAGGTAGAGGAACTTGTCTGTCACACATAAAAAATTTGCAGGTCAAACGGATGTCACAAATCTCTTAGTTTGAAATATTTGGTCCATCGTCGAGGTATACACTTATATTTCGGGAAAGTGTAGTATTCACGGTATCGGACACGATTATGCAAACTATTAGACTAATGAGATTCATTTAGTCTCATTTTTTTCAAAAATTAAAACATACTACTCTCAAAACTCAAACTATATACCTATTATATTAAATTTAAATTTAAAAATTATTTTCACTTTTCAAAATCAAAAAAGTTGACTGACAGAAGGTTAAATTAGAAGGCATTCAACCATATTATTTTTTTTTTGAAAATATTAAGTTCACTTCTAAGAAAGTTAAAGAGCAGCCCAGAAGCTATGGAAACCAAGTAATCAAGGCAATTGGGATCTTTCAACTAATAAAATTCAATTGTTTGAAGCAATGGCGATATTTATCTAGTTTAAACTCAAAACTTCAAACAACTTTGGTTCCAATCATAGTATCAAGGCCTTTCAGCGCAGCTAGCCAAATCCCTAGGCCTATTCACATGATTCTTGAACTTGTCCCTCCTGGGGTTCCTGCTTGTGATAATCAAATTATTGCTAGGAATGCCAGTGATGCAGACAATTTATGTTGCCTTTGTTGTTAGCACTTCTAGCAATATAAGAGCTGATGAACAAGAAATTTCAGATTATATATGCTAAGAAAGAAAAAAACATCAAGTATACAATCATATGATCTAAGTTAGACGATTATAAAATGATCCTGAGGTTTTTCCTACTATTTTTTCCATGTCGATATATAATGTTTTTATTTCTTCATTTCATCTAGTAATGTTTTGTCACTACTTCACATTGTACTTTTTTCATTTAATGATAATTAAACTTGTCTGATTTAAAAAAAAAAATTCAGCACGGGGAACCAATATTTTGAACTTAATATGCATAAAGAACAAGGGCTTATCATTTGTGAGTAGCATTAGATAAAAGAAAAAATAACCGAAAACTTTATGCTAAATTAATAAAAAACAAGCTAGTAAGATGTTGGCTGCAAAAAAGTACCTCCATTAGATCCTTTTCAAGCCTCTCTTTTAGTTGCTGCATGGATGCTGTGCCACCAGAAAGCTGGTAAGAAAAAGATGGGAATCACCAAAACATCAAAAACAACTACATGCAACTACCAAAGCGCTATGATAAACTCATTTTCAAGAAAGCAATATGGAAAAGACGGAAAAAAAAAACACTTGCTTGTTCAATGATACTATAAAAAGACGATATTACAAATAAAGCCTACAAAGATGCATGGAAAAAATCAAAAACATAAACATAGCTGCAGCACTAGCAATATGAGGAGGAGCAGAAATACAGCAAGGAGCAAAACAATTGTACGTATTTCGCTACATAGTTTATCAAAAAGCATACTTTCAGTTTATGCAGCATATAACAGCATTACATCTCCAGCTAAAAAGTTACAGGCACCAAAGAAAAGCACACTATAAATAAGCAAGTATATAAATATTGTGACAGAAATATTATGCAAGAGCAATCATTATTAAGTGAAGTAGTTTTAGGTGGATAAAAGCACAGGTCAAGAAAACTTGATTCTGTGCTTTAACTGTACAACATTTTAGCTGATTACTTTGGCAGGGAAGAAACTCTGATAATTTTCGAGAAAGAAAAGGTTTCTCGCCAGAGTATTTTTAAGTTAAACATCTGCAGTTTTTTTCCAATAATGCATAATAGAAAACAGCTAAATTAAGAACAATTAGAGCACATAGGCATATGAGCAAGACATATATACTCCCGTCATTTCAAAGAGGGTCAAATTATAAGAATGGATACATCACGTCCTTTCTACTAATAGAGCACTTACAGTGTAAAATCCGGTTCAACATAAATAAATAAATAAGTACACTGAACTTGAAGCGAATAGAAGAGAGTAAAGGGAGGGGGTGCAGGAGGGAGGGAGGGAGGGAGAGAGATTTATTGTGTGTGTGTGTTGGGGGGTGGGGCGAATGGGATTGGGCAGAGGAAGTGTTGTTTTCATGTTGGATAGGTAGAATAGTAGGCGGACAATTTTTTGGTGCAAGAAATTTTATGGTTGTAAGAGACAAAAGGAGGGTAGAGGGAGTGTTGTTAACGCTAGAACAGATAACAGTTGGCTACTACAATGATGTAGCTGCCAAATTTTTAGTATCCTAAGTAGGCACAACTGCAATAGGATATATATATATATATATATATATATATATATATATAGAGAGAGAGAGAGAGAGAGAGAGAGAGAGGAGGAATTTTTTAATTCCTTCATTCAAGAAACCATGCCTATTTATAGGCAAAATATAAATCTTAAAACAATTTAAATTTTCGCTAAACTGACTTCACAATAAAAACAAAATCATTAAGAAACTCATAACTCAAATTTAAAGTTCAAACTAAAAACTTGTCAAGGTAAAATTAAATTCTTCCGAATTTTGTTTTCATCTAAATCACCATCCCATGGTATAGATTTCTCGTCACATGATAATGGTCACCAAGCCTTCAATCAATAATTTGTCTTCGTATGCTGACTACTTGGAACTCAAATCTTTATGTTCAAAGGTGTGATCTAAGAATCCAGATAAGTAAATCCCCTTGAATCATGCATCCTCATTTTAGATAACTACTAAAAATAAAAGTTATTTTCTTCTTGGCACCTAAAATTTTACCATTCTTCTGCTTTTTTTTTTTTTTTTTTTTTTTTTTTTTTAAATCTATTTTTAAAACAAAAAAATTATAGGGAACAAATATCACGTGTCATCGTTTGGATAAGTTAAATGTTTCAGTAGAAATTGTGAAATAAATAACATGTAAAATATGATCAATATCTGAATGCTTGCAATTGCCTGACATGCAAGAAATAAATAAAGCATTTACTTACCAAAATGCTGCTAAACAACTCTCTACGAATGTCCACATCACATTTATTAATGCTCTCAATAACCTGAAACAGGCAGAAGTAATTGAACTTTTTGTAACTTGAGCTAAAGAGTTTGCTAAAAACATTACAAAAATCATTTTACCATTTGTGGGAGGCCAGAAACAAGAGAAGAATCTGCAAAATTCTCCATTCCCGGTATAGTCTGCTTAATCCAAAAGATGAACAAATTATTTACATATAAATTGTAGATAATGAATCAAGTATTATACACTTTCCAATGTCAATGTTTTCTTCTAAGTAATACAAATAACACATTTCAAATATCACAATTAAAGCATATATTCATGCAACAGGAAATCTATAATAACTTTAGTTTAAAACAAAAGCCATCCAAAGAATAAATTTTCAATGGTTAGATTTCTCAACATTACTGATACAAAATTAATGCCTAAAACAAAATAAAAAGAAATTCAAAACTTTTTTAAAAAATTAGCATGCTCCAAGGGATTCTAAGTTGGCCAACTTACCAGAATCAGTCAACCTTTGTATTACAAGTCACAGGAGCAACCTTTCACAAAATTTTTGTCAATACAAGCATGGAGGCTTAAAGCTCATAAGTGCAGGTGAGGATTTAAAAGAAAAAATTTTATTTGTAATATTGAATAAATCACAAATCGATTATTTTCTTATGAGAAGAAGAAATCGTCGAGATTGTAAAGATTGTAAGGTCATTCCAAGTGAGAATTTAAGTACTCAACATCGATTATTAGTTCTATATTTTAAGATGATGAGTTGTAAAATAAAAAATATTAGAACTCATCATCGTAGAATTAGATGAGGAACCTAAAAAACATAAATAAATTTTTTTAAGTAATATTCAAGATTTCAAAATTTGGGATGTTCATGAAGAAGCAAATGCAACATGGAATACATTAACAAACACTATTAAAATATTAGCAAAAGATATATAAATAAAAATAGTTAGTGGTGGAATAATAAATTACAAGAAAAGATAAAATATAAGAAGGTATGTTTTAAAAATTGATTTAAATATAAATGCTTAGAGAACTGAAAAAAATATCAAACTGCCCGTAGGGAGTCTAAGAGAACAATCTGTGACGCTAAGGGAGTCTAAAAGAACAATCTGTGACGCTAAAAATTCTGTTTTTAACGATCTTTATAATATATTAAATATTAAGAAGCGTGAAAAATATATGTATAAACTAGCGAAACAAAGAGAAAAAAAAAGTAGAGATTTATCACAAGTAAAGTGTATTAAAGATGAAAATAAAAAAAGTGATTTTCTTAGAAAAAAATATTCAACATAAGTGGATAAGTTATTTTGATATATTTTTTAATGAAATTTCAGAAAATGTGATCGACCTTAGTGATCTTAATATCGTTAATAATAATAAAATATTTCATTTTTACCGTCGCATTAGTAAAAAAGAAGTTGAGGAGGCTTTAAAAAAAACCAAGAGTGTGAAGTCTGTAGAACCTGATGATATCCCAATTGACGTGTGTAAATATTTAGAAGATTTGGGAGTTTCTTGGCTTACTAAACTCTTTAATATTATTTTAAAAACTAAAAAGATGCCTGAGGAGTAGAAGAAGAGTATTTTGGTCCTCATTTTTAAGAATAACAGGGATGCACACGAGTGTTCAAAATATAGAGGAATTAAGTTGATGTGGCATACTTTAAAATTATGGGAGAGGGTAATTGAACATAGGTTAAGACGTATTGCTCAGATTTCTCAAAATCAATTTGGATTTATGTCAGGCAGGTCTACTATGGAAGCTATACATTTATTAAGAGGTTTGATGCAGAAGTTCAGAGATAATAAGGAGGATCTATATTTGATTTTTATCGATTTAGAAAAAACTTACGATGAGGTTCCAAGAGATATCCTTTGGAGAGTTCTTGAGAAGAAAGGTGTTGATATGACTTATATTCAAGTCATTAAAGATATGTATACTAGAGCTGTTACTTGTGTTCGAACCGAAGGAGAATTGACCAAATATTTTGCTATTCTGTTGGATTACATCAGGGATCGGGTTTAAGCCCATATCCTTTTGCTTTAGTTATGGATGGTCTTACTGAACATTTACAGGAGGATGTACCTTGGTGTATGTTTTTTGCTGATAATATCCTTCTCATGGATAAAACGAGAGAAAAAGCCCAAGTAAAACTTGAATTATGGAGGTCTACATTGGAGTCTAAAGGCCTTCGTTTAAGTAGAACTAAAACTGAATACATGGAATGTAAATTTAGTAGTAATAGCTCTACTGACAGAAGTGTGACTTTGGGTG